GACGCCACTGCACCACTCTAGCCGGGGCAACAGAGCAAGACTCTGTCTTGGAAAAAAAAAAAAAAAAATGGCTCAGAAGGTAGTTGCCATCAGCCGATGCCGCTCTACCGAGAGTTTCCAACAAGGGGCGGTGGCGCAAACCTGCACGGCTAAGATGTGAACCACAAACAAGGACCCCACGGGCACTACGCAGGCAAAGCATCTGCCAGCAACTAAAATTACTTTCTGTGCGGCTTCCCAGGACCAGAGCACGCGGGGGCCTCGTGGCCAAGGTCCAGCCAGGCACGACCACCCGAGTTCACGGTTCGAGAGCCGTGTATGGCTTTTCCTTCTCCCTCTTCTCGCTTTCTGAGATGAAGTCGATCTATATTTCTTCCCCTTTTTCATAAGAAAACAGCAGGCAAATGATTATTGGCGCAGTGTCGCTGAGTTATTTTTTGACTCCAGGCTCTGTCTCTCGCTAGCTGGGGAATGATTATCTTTGGCCGCTCAGCCTTGGGAGCCTCATTTCTCTCCTAATATCGGGGACGATAACGGTTCCGCTTCCGGGATTCCTGAAGGGATTAAATAAAATAATCCCCGTAAAGAGACAGACACATGCCTGACATGCAGCAAACGTTATTTTTTGCTCCAAACGTTCTCATCATCCCCTTCCTCTCGCTGCTTTAACAAATGCCCACAAATTCAGGGGCTTCAAACAACACGAGTTTATTCTTGCACAGCTCTGGAAGTCAGGAGTCCCACCGTCACCTTTACTACGTCCCATGCGGTTGATCCGATTAGATTCCCAGGTGAAAACGGAGGCACAGAGAAGGCAAGAAACCTGCCCGAGGTCACACAGCGGGGAAGCTGCGATTCCGACCCAGAACGTCGGCGTCGGGGGTCACGCTCTGCAAAATGGAAACACGATGGGCACCCTATCAGCGTCAGCTATTGTTATTTCCACTGAGATTAACATAAGAATCCTTATTTTACATGTTCGTGATTTTTGCAATCTTGCTAATGCGCCTTTCTGGGGACGCCCCCCCCAGGTTGGGGCGGCCTTCTTTCCCCCCGCCGCCTCCGATCGTCTTCGCTCAAGATGGCACCTGTTATCATTAAAAGCCGTCTCCCGCCGTTGTCCCCAAACGCAAGTCGTTGTCCTTTTCCGCTTCCTTCTAGAAGACTTTAACGCGCAGCGTCCGCGACACGCCCTCCGACCTTCTGCAAATGGCGATCAGCTTGATACGTCTCTTAGCCTGACCTTCTCAAGATGGCGCCGCGGCCGCAAAGCGGCGTCGCAAACTCACGCAAACCCGGCGTCGCCTATCCGAGGCACTTCCGGTTGTGCCGGAAGTGAGGCTTCCTGAGGCGGTTGGGGATTCACGGAGGGGTCTTTCGGACGCCGGGGGACTCCGGCGTGACCATGGACCGGAGGAAGAAGCCGCTGGACGTCACGGCGTCCTCGGTGAGTGGGGGGACGAGGTGCTGCCGCGGCCTTCGCGGGTCCCTGCCGCCATCGCGCGAGATTCTCGCCGTGGCTCGTTCGCGCACTCGGGGGCCCGGACCTGGCTTCCGCTTTGAACCGAATTTTCTCCCCGGCGGGACCCGGAACCGGGCTTCTCCGCCCCGGCGGGACCCGGAACCGGACTTCTCCGTCCCGACGGGCCCCCCTGAGAAGTTGTTCGCGCCCCTGCAGGACGCGCTGCCGGGAGCCGGGAAGGGTGACGGGGCGTTAGCGGTTCTGCTGGGTGAGCTGCTCCGGCAAGAAAACCGGTTCTGAGTGCGTATTTGGGGCCCGCATTTCGTATGCACCGTCTCGCAGAACCTTCCCCAGTTCGATGAGACGGTCCGGAGTCCCCAGAACCTTTGCGGTTTGCTTCGGGAGGGAGCTACTGCGAACAGTCCCATTTTACAGACGGTAAGACTGAGGTCCGGAGAGCGCAGTGGCTCTGCGTGGCTCCCGTGCGGAATCCGTAGCGCTGCAGCCGGGCTCGCTGCCTCGGGCCGACTCCAGAGGCTGTTCGGTCACATCGGAGCGAACTGCCCAGCCTTCGGTCTCATCTCGGATTCGCCGCGGAGGATCAGGACGCGAAGGGAGGACAAAGGGAAACGCACGTGGCTCGATATTCGAGTCGCTTTCCTCATCTGACGTTGAAAATTGGAGCTGTTTGTTATGCTCGAGGATCAGGAAGCAAAAGGCCGTAAACGTGAAAGTCGAGCTATCCCGCCGACAGGTTAAAATCGGCGATGATTATAAAGGAGGGAAGCTTGAGAGTTGGTGATTTTCTGAACATCTTGCATTTAAAATTCGAAAGTGGTTGTAGAACGTGGAAATACGTGGCTGGAAAATGGGTGTGGTCAGGAAGGCTTGGAAGAGGCGAGGCTGGGCTCCGTGACTCACGCCTGTGATCCCCAGAGCTTTGGGAGGCCGAGGCTGGAGGATCGCTTGAGGCCCTAAGTTCAAGACCAGCCTGGGCAACATAGTGAGACCCCATCTCTTCAAAAAGTTAAAAATTAGCCGGGCATGGTGGCGCATGCCTGTAGTCCCAGGTACTCGGGAGGCCGAGGCGGGAGGATCGCTCGAGGTCAGGAGTTCAAGACCAGCCTGAGCAAGAG